CAAAAAGATGGAAGAAAAGTTCTGAACTAAAACGATGAATCCGCCTTTATGATGTAATCAGAAAAATCATGATTTACAGACAGGATCGACATCACATGAGCACTTTCCATGGACTTTCAATACGCAAGATTAACTATACTAATTGGAACGAAGAGATGGCATGGCAACAATGTAAAAACATTTCTAACCAATACACATAAATTTTTTTTTTTTGTTAATGCATTCATAAAACCCCGCTACTAAAAGTGCCGCTAAGTAATCTTCATCAGCGGCTAAGCCTTTAAATACACTGTATCACAAATTTTAATTTTTTTTCGTTCTGCAGACGCCACTATCCAATTTTTATGTAGAATTGTTCCGAAAATCGAGTAAATTTTTTTTCTATGCATACGTTTTCGAGATATTTTCAATTTACCGTTATTCAGCTTAAAGCTAAAATTTGTTCCTTTTGATCACGTTAATCTTACGAACCAATTTAACAATCTAATAAAACAGCTAATAAAATTCTCCATAATTATTTTTTAATAAAAAAAAAAGAAATCAAATCAAACTTTAATAGAACAAAAATTAAAAAAATAACAGGTTCTGTGCCAAATTTTTGCATTTGTGCTAAAGCCTGTTCTGTTACAACAAAAAAAAAACAAGTTACTGATGATGAAAACCGATGGATAAATAAAAAAAAATGAGTGCTCAAATAAAAAATGCGCAAAGATATTTTGTATGAAAAATGAGCAGGGAAGAAAGTTACTCATACGCCACGTACACCTGCATGTGTAACACGATTTTCTGCCCATATTTCATTTGCTGTATTTTATATTAAAATTGTTAAATGGGTTCGTAAATATACGTGATTAAGAGGAACCAACTTTTGCTTTAAGCTAAATAACGGTAAATTGAAAATATCTCGAAAGCATATCCATCGAAAAAAATTAACTCGATTCTACATAGGAATTGGACAGTGGCATCCATAGAACATTTTTGCTGTAAACCAGTGATATTTATTCGAATAAACAGAAAACGAAAATAATATGCTTGCGAGATTATTGAATGTCTGGTAAAAATGGTACAGTACGCTTCGTCTGATAAAAGCTATTTTTTACATATTTATTTAGGCTGATCACACTAGAAAGATTTCCGTGTATACTATACATACATACATATGTACATATAGTTAGTACATACATGTATCTATTGTATCTTCAATAGACACGAGATCTGAGCAGGTTCTATGCAATCAAAGAAGCTTTTAAAAATTTTTGTACAACTGACTTGGAGGAATTTCGAAGCACTCAGAACGAATTTATGATGTGTTTGGATTTGACTTTAATGATAGCTTGAATGCATAGTGTAAATGAATAAATTGTCTATAAGAGGTACTCTCCTTCTACGAAGTGATAGCTTGAATTTGCATAGACGAAGTGGAGTTGGAACTACAGACACAAGTCAGGCTGAGCAAGGAAAGAAGGCGGAAGACAGTAGTCAACCGGCTCAACCTAGGACACGACCGGGAGAGCAAAGAAAATACTATATACGATATCAATTATGCGTGATCAGATACTATCAGACTACAGAGCATTTTTTCGATTTTTTTTTACTTGCCGAATTTGCTTTAAAGTTTTAGTTATGTCACCCCTAGCGACGAGTCACAGTTGTTTGACTTCGCGCTTTTATTGAAGACATCTCTCTCCTTAACTTATTTCCTGGCTGTACGAAACCGTAGTTACTCACACGTTTTATGGAGTTCGAAAGATGGAGCGGGTATAGAAGAACGCCAATATTGATATAAGTGGTACACTTAGGACCACTTCGAATGGGATACTTAGAGACTCAAGGTTTGGTCATTCTAGTACATATTTTTGGAAGCTGAGCGAAAATTAGGACATGTGCAACTGCATGGTCTTTCGCGTAGTACTAAATATCACACCGAACTCGCACTATCTCAACTGCTTAAAGGCAGAAAAGTTGAAGCCAACACATTTCTATCTCTTAAGCACCAATCCTACTCATCTATGAGATATACTTTTCGCCGATGACATTAAAAATATCCGTTCACAAGGACCTCAACAGAAGGCGATGTTCTTTCTACTTCTGGCTTCCTTGTTTTCGTTCTGGAAAGTTCAATGTTCTAGATGTATCTTAGCCTAGTCGGTCGGCCATTCATTGGAAATGTAGAGGAAATTTTTTAAAAACTCAAGACAGACTCCACATTTCAGCTTGCACTAAAAAGTCGGATTTATGTAAGTCCGACCCAAAAATCGTTTTGGCCCATTAAATAAAGCTAAATACCAGAGCTAACAGTGAATTTCGTAGATCACCAGTGAATTGAATGGGCCCGAGTAGCTATTTGTGAATAGGGGGAAAAGGAAACGAAATTGAAGAATTTTTAATCTAATGATTACGAGCGATAAAAAAGGGTTATGGTTTATGTTTGGAGAAGCAGCATAAACGTAGATTTTTCGAAAATCGGACTACGATGGAACCAGTAATAGTCCCAGTTATCAAAAGCTGCCACAAACTGGTATTGATATGTAGTTGATACAGGGTGATTCGTCATCTCGAGAGCTTTGCTTGGAAGTTTTATTATATGTTACCGGCCTAAGCCGATTTTCGGACAAACTAAACCGGTATAGTCCGGGCCACACTGGTCTGGCCTACGCCCGATGGTAGAGGCCAGTAAGTCTGGGCTGAACACGGAAACAACTTGAACGCAACAATACTGTGGACTGCAGAAGTGTAAACATTCATACTAGAATGTACTAGTTAACCTTAGGCTTAACCAGACCAGTTTGGCCCAGGCTATTCCGATTTATCCTATCGCATGCAGGTAGAACTAGTTTAGCCTATACAATCGGATATGGCCGGTAACATATACACTGCATAGTGCGTTAAAAAATTGTTTTAATCACTGGAAACTTGCAACATTTTCCGTTCTCCATGTAGATTTCTCTGCGGGTAATCATGGCCGCTCACATATGTACATAGATAACCTCACAATTTGTAAGTGCGAACAAATGTTTTCAAATGTTTGCAAAATGCTTTCTAAATAAGCACCCAATTAAAAAAAAAAAAATACGCTTATCAGCAGCACGCTGCTTATCGCTGCCGTAACAATTATTTGCTCAGTAACACAATCCCAATGTCCATTGCTGATTCGCCTACGACGACAGTCGCCTTCACTATCTACTTTAAAAAGCTTGAACCGAGCATCGCTCAATCTCAGTTCAGCTGTGCAGTCTAGAGTGGTCGAACAGCCTAGCTTTTTGACTTAAAAAACGTTTATTTTTGACAACATAAATTTAAAAAAAAACTTCCTTTAAAAAGGACTCATTAAATATCGTGAAAATAAAAACAAAAAACCAAAAAAAAAACCAACAGTGGCAAAAAAACGCCCCAAACATGTGCTCAAAAAGTCAGGATCTAAGCAAGCGCACATTCTTCATACTTAGTGGAGTATCCAATGCCTTGGGCAGGTCATTGGCCATCGAAATGTGCCGCCACTACAGCGCCGATTCCCTTGCCATACTCATCGACCCCTCCGAGGAAAATTTGCAGGAAGTAAAGAAAGAAATTGAATACCTAGAACGTGGTATTAATGTCGTTTGCTGGCCAATCAAAGTGTGGCAAGAGGCCAACGGTACTTACTTCCGTCAGCTACTCGCCGCAATTTTTGAGAAATACACCGCTACCAAATGCGAATTCGAACTCGCCTTCATACTACACAACGAGGGCAAGATGGCAACTAATAATTTGATGGAACCACAGTTGACTGAGGATTGGTTGTCCTTTGTGCAGGAGAACCTCTACGCGCCCGTTGCACTCAATCAAGCCTTCCTAAGCGCACCGCAACTAACCAAAATCACAAAACTTGTCGCCAACATCACATCCAGCTTGATGATCCGTCCATTCGTTTATAATTCATTGTTGTGCTCTTGCATGAAAGCGCGTGATATGTACTTCCGTTCGATGGCCAATGAGGAAATGCGCAATGACGTTAATGTAATCAGCTACTCGCCGGGCATTTTGGAAACACACAAGCCACAATTGGACGCGAACAACAATGAGGTCGATTTGTCGGATTTGGGTGTGAACGAAAAATGGCTGCAGTTGCCACGTGTCAATGCTAGGGAATCTTCCCTTAAATTGATTAATATTCTGCAAGAAATGTCCTTTATTTCGGGACATGACGTCGACTACTATGACACCTTCAATTTATGAGGAGCACTAATGAAATATTATCACACATGCGCTAATCATGCTATAATACTGCAGTGTGGTAATATTTCATTAGAAATTTTTGCTTATTTGGTGTTGCTGCTGATTAATGGTGATATTTTGAGAGAGAATTATGAAAAAATTAAAAATAAAATATTACAAGAAATTCTTTCGGCGAACATCGAAGATGGCGAGAACGAAGAAGAAAAAGAAATTTTTGTTGTTTTATTAAGAGTTTATTGTGGAGGAAAAAAAATGGATAGTTTTTAGGGGAAAGACAGAAAAATGACTATGCATTTATAAGTACATAGGCTTGATAAGATTTGCACAAGCAAAAATAAATTTCAAACGACATAGTAGAACATACTAACTGGATTTTGGTAAGGAAAAAATTTTACGATAAATATGACCTCATGCCTGTGATAAAACTGGCACCTATGACTAAAGTTGAATTGACCTTGCATGTCTAGCGACTATAAACCTGATAACGGATTTTCATTCTTAGAGACAGAGGACAAGTATGGTAATATCTTTGTTACGACTTTTGGAAAATACTCTTTTATTAAAAAAAAAAACATCAACCTGTGCAAAATGTGGTCCGAAGGCCGTCCTGGGTTCACTTCTCTCAAATAGCTTTTCCGTTTGCGAAATTCATATAAGCAAGTATATATATATCTTTTCACACATTTTCTGCCTGATTCCTTATCTATAGCAGTTACATACCGATGATCCTGTGCAAAATTCAAAAAAGCAAAAACAGTTACTACGGTTAAGTGGCTCTTGTCTCTAATCCTTGTCTAATCCATTTCCCTCCCTTGCTAAAGTAATCAGTAAGAATTGCTAAAGTAAGTACAAAAGATTAGACATGATAGACAGATAGTAACAGTTTTTGTTTTTTGAATTTTGAATTTTGTCGTTATTGCACAGGACCATCGATGTGTATATATACTATATGGGCAAAACCAGTGAAAACGGGGATTGGTCTAATTGACAATTTTCAAATCTTAGGAAGATAACAAATCTTATAAATATCTTCGAACTTTGGGTGGTAGTAATTTGACATCAAAAACGACCTCGTGAAATGATGACGTCGATATACAAAGTCACGCGTACAGACAAATGGCGTGGCAGAAGCACAAAATGTGTTCCGCAGTCTCATCCTCCTCAAGGCAGGAAGGTCAAATGGTATTGGCATGTATGCCTATCACAGACAGATGTTTATGCCACGAGTTCCCCCACAAGTTGTCTGCAATCCCATCTGCTCAGTGAGAGCAAATACCTAGCAAGACCCTCTGATATTGAGGGCAACACGAGTTTTGCCCACCTGTAGTCCCTCGAAGCCTCCGAGCCCAATATCTGACAGTGGCTTCGATGTTCAATGGTCGGATTGATATAAATGGTTGCGGACCGAGGATTTGTGTTCGCCACATCGTCTTTCCATGGAAGCTTAGATCTCAACCCTATGGTATAGATCCGGCTGAATTTCAGCAATGGCCAGGGTTATGTTGACGTAGCGATATACGATATCGTAGCGTCCGCTGTGTGGTAAGTACATATCGCCGTGTTACTGGAACCACATCTCGTTCATGTCCAAATCATTCAATTTGGGCTAAAAGACATTGGTTGTTTCCGTTCTGTAGCGCTTGTCGTTGACACTGATGGCATCATCAACGTCATACGGATAGATGAAGCCGGTCTGTCGCTACTTTAATGTAGTTATCGGCTGATTATTTGTGAAACCGGCCGTCTGGAATTAGGACACAAATAATTGAAGCATCGATTTTAAAGGCACCCCGCGTCTGCTGTAAAATTAACGGAAATAACAAACATTCGACTGAACCTTAAACAATAGGTTGGAGACAGAGGTCAAAGAACATCGAGCCGCGCCAATTAAAAACCATTTCGAAATCATCGACAATAATATTTTGCAGCTTTACTAGTTACTGAAAAGCCAATGCTTATATATGTATGTATGTGGCCCAAAAATGCATGTGAGCAAATTAAAGTCGGAATTTCAATTCTCTCACCCCTAGGATTGTTCTATATCGGAAAAACGTACCCGTTTTTTTGTCAAAAAATAATTATAGGTAGCTAAAAATTTCTTATGTATGTATGTATTTTACCCGTATATATGGGAAAAACTATTTTTCGTAGAAATGGTATAGCATACTTGAAAATCAATATTTGTCAAGCGGCAACTCTGTTTCTCTTCAGGAGACTTCAAAGGATAATACCCAATTTAAAAAAAAATATATAATAATTAATTATTAAAACAAGTCTCTTGAAGAGGAACACAGTTTGCCGATTGGAAAAAATAGATTTTCAAAGGTTTTTTTAGCGACCTCTAAATTTTTTTTATTTAAAAAAAAAACAAGGATAGATTTTTCGATGTAGAATAATCATCTTATGTTGTGAGAACATTAAAATTCTGACTTTACTTTCTTTGGACCACCCTAATGTACACACATCTTTGTCGAAATATCTTTCTTCATTCTCAAACACGGCATTTTAGCACCAATTACCTTTAACAACACTGAAGAAATTTTTGCTGGGGAAATGCCCACATTCGCCACTTTATGTTTGTTTTTCAAAACAAGCTCTAACCGAATAAATCTTACACAAACCAATGGCGCGTTGAATATTTAATAGTCGAGCCGATCGATCAAATAGTACAGTAAGCGTATTGAATCAAAACATATGCATTTATTACTTTATTTACTCATTCATAATTACAAATAATACACACATACAATTGTACACACATGTGCATTTATATACAGATGCATATAGCCGTCGCGTGTGTGCCAAGATTCGCTTAGTAACATCATCGCTTATCAACGATTCTTTCAATTGGTTATCTATTCAGGAAAAAAAA